AAAAAAAAAAAAAAAAAAAAATGTGAGCACAGTCTGTTTTGTTTTGTGGCAGAGGTGAATAAACCCAGGAAGAACTGAACTACATCTCTAGCTCTTTTTCAATTTTTCTTTTTTTTAAGACCAGGTCTTGCTAAATTGCCCAAACTAGCCTCAACCTGCAACTCTCCCGCCGCTTCAGCCATCGGTGTGAGCCACCACACCCCATCCAGCCTTAGTGCTTTAAGACTATCCCATATAATATGCAGACCACGATCACGGCCCAATCTACAGCAGCACGCAAGTTACATTTTTTTTTTACTTCATTCCACAACTAAAATACACTTAGCGCAAGATTATCAACCCCCACAGCAAATAATAAACTAAAATGCAAAACAGTAAGCAAACAGGGGTAAAGGCAATAAACTGAATTGTTTTTTCCATATCATTCCACTAAGTAGTGGGATAAGAATACCTAAAGAAAAGTCATGTTTCCTCTAAGACAAAAATCTTGAAGTTTTGCTGTTGAAGATAGTTCTACTCATTTCAACTACCCTGTCACTTTTTTTAGACAGGGTCTTGCTTTGTAATGCAGGCTAGCCTTGAACAGTGACCCTCATGCCTCAAGCTCCCAAGAGTGGGGATTACAAGTGTATGCCACCACACTCAATCTAGCCAAGTCACATTTTAAAGTCTCAACAAAGGTTCATTTGTTTTAAATTGGTTCCTAAATGGTAAAAACATAGTTTGGGGGTTATAAAGCTTAACCAGAGTAATTTTTGATGGTTCAGAAGATTGGAGATTTTCTTTTTCAAAAGCAATTTTGGGCTAGAGATGTAGCTCAGTAGTTAAGCACTTGCCTAGTATGCATGAAGCCCTAAATCTGATCCCTGAAGTGGGTAGCGGAGGACAGCAGAGGTTCCACATCACTGCTGTTATTCTGGAAAACTCTAGCCAAATGGGACTTCCAAGAAAATGGCAAAGTGATAAGCAATAACTCAGCCTCTCTGAGATTCAGAATCCAGACCCTGGAAAATAACAACTTGGGGAAGAAGGGGGGAAAAAAAATAGATCCCTGGGAACCAAGAAGGCTCTGACAGGAAAATTAAAACCTATGGAAAAACTGGAGACAGAAGACAACACAGAGAAGGGAAGGGACAATCTGCTTTCTCGCCAGCTCCTGGCTTGTGACTCACAGGAAAGGGATACTGAATCTACAGAAAGGGAAAGCTGGGACGTGGCAGTGGAACAAAGCAGGTGCTGTGAGCCGCAGGTACAGCGCAGGATTCTGCTCCACTGTGAGTCCTGACAGGCAACAGCCACTGAGTAACTTCAGTCTCAGCACCCATCCTCACCCTGAAGAGAGCAGCTGCAGGCTTCATTTCAGGGATCCCTGGGTTATACTCACAGTGACTCGCTGAGACAGCCACGGTAGCTGGTCAGGGAGCCAAGATCAGGCCGTAAAGAGACTCCATGAGGGGTTTAAGCCAAAACACGGCAGGGCCTACTCCCATGGTCAGAGGCCTGGTTCAGCCTGAATTGCTCTGGATTTGAAAGTCTCGGCATTGGCCCCCTCACCTTAATCCTACTGCCTGCTGGTGCCTGCAGCCAGCACAATTCTGGGATCTGATTACCAGCATGCGTAGGGACAGGCCTTGACTTGGACACTGCCCCAAAACTGGATCCCAGACACTAGATCCCAGAAGACCCAATCAAAAAGTGGGAATCTGAAATGAAGAAGCGTAAGTACAAATGGCCAATAAATACATGAAAAACTGGCCATTCAGGAAATGCAAATTAGGGAACTGTATTCTCTCTCGTATGTGCCCTTACACTGGTAGGGTATACTTCTTTGCCTACTTTTACTTGACCCAAACTTGCTCTGCAGAGCCTGTTTCTTTTCCTACCTCTAATAAAATTGTGCTACCATTAAAAAAGAAAGAAATGCAAATTAAAACAATACTGAGATTCTATCTCACTCCAAAAAACATAACTATCATCAAGAAATCAACGAATAACAAATGCTGCAGAGATTGGGGGGGTACACATGACACCTTCTTCATTTTGTTTACAGTAGTACAAACTGGTACAACTACTATAGAAATCAGTATGGAGATTCCTCAAAAAACTAAAAATAGAAATTCCATTTGACCCAGCTATTCCCTTTTGGTTATCCTCCCAAAAGAGTTAAAGACATCAAATCACAGTGCTATATGCACACCCATGTTTACAGCAGCACAATTAATAATCGCGACATCTTGGAAGCAGCCTTTATGTCCACCAACAGATGAATGGATAAAGAAAATGTGGTATTTACATGCCATGGAGTACTACTCTGACATAAAAAGGATAAACGAGTCACATGCAGAAAAATGTGTACAATTTTAAGACCATAATGTCAAAGAAGTAAATCAGACACACAAGCTTAAATACCATAGTTTCTCTTATATGAGAAACCCAATATAGAAAGTACAAAGTACAGACAATGGAAAAAAAGAGAAAAAAAAGTTACCACAATCCATCATCAACAATGTACAATAAAAGTGTACCTTGATTTAGTATAATCTTCTTATGTTTTTTGGCCATTAAGTCTAGCTGTAAATCTGTATTTATAATTAACTTGATAAGGAAATAAAATGAAAAATAAATGAATGATGCTGGCAAAAAAAAAAATTTATAAAGGGGTGGGAAGGGTAAAAGAATTGAGATGTGAACGTGTGCCAATTCCCCACAATGAATGTAATCACTATGGATGGCAAACATGTACTAATAAAAATAAAAACTTTTTAAATTAACTAAATGATTGCTATCTAAGGTATGAAGACCACATGAAATTTTGTTTAGGGACACAGAGCTACTATTCTGCATGAGTATCTTTCCTTTGAAGAAATGGGAAAAAAAAAAAAAGGTCACATCAATTTTTGTGCCAAGGATAGCAGAAAGAATAATAGTATCTTTTCTTTTTATTTATTGTCATTTTAATGTGATTCAAACACTATTACAACAACATTTGAGATTTCACAGAGAAATGCATGCTTTTGCTATTAAAAGACCTTTGTTGAAGTACCTGAACTTCACCTCTTAGGAAATGAAGAAACAGGGAAATTTCAAGTACATCTGTCAGCACAAAATCATTCACAACCTTGTAGGTGCTTACTTTCTACCTTTACCTGTAAAGAGTAACTCTCACTTGAGGATTAAGAGTTCCAGAGCTCCAAAGTGATCAGAACCTACAAATTAGCATAATTAGTAGTCCAAAGCTTGGTTTAAATATTTGAAGAATAGGAAACACCAAATTATGTAACACCAACAAGAATATTACTGTTTAGATGAGGTAATGACTCATCCATTAAAACCACCTAAGATTGAAATTTTCTTTACCAGTTTCTACTGGTGACTTTTTCATTAGTAATGCCTCCTATGGTTTCACAGGTTTTATATAGAAGCAAACAATAAATTTTTAGCATTCCACAGGAATCAACACTTTCAAAAACTGCACTATACACCTGCGTGTTATACTAATATACAATAAACAAACATCTTGTATACCAACACTTAGCCACAAATAATAAAATACAAGAAGCTATACAGGACAAAACACCACAAAACTTTTGAATACTTCCTTCTCCACTTGTTAGTAGGTAGTACTTTTTCTAAGAGAAAGTGATGAAACCTCAGAAATTTTGCCTCCAGTGTTCAACTTTTTTAACGTCGTCTGGTACCACCATATCCTAGAATGAAAAGAGTAAAATTTGTATTAGCTTTTTAAAATAAATTAAAATCGTTTATATAAAATTCGTGTTTATTGTTAGCAAATGAGTAAGAGAGATGAGGGAAGGAGAGAATGAGCCATTAAGTGGAACGCGACTATGCAGGCATTGCAGCACCTCCCACAACAGCTTTCCCAATCTCCAAGGCCCGTAAACTCACACACATTTGTATGAATAATGAGCAGTTGGGAAACCAAAGATGTGTTCGATGGCAGGCCAACGTGGGACAGCTAGTGCTCAAAGGGTCTAGGCCATTAACAGAAAAGTCGAAGGAGCATAAGCCATACCTCACCACCTCTCACAACTCCAGGGGCAAACAAAGGAGACGGGGACAGAGGAAAGTGGTTAACTTCCCTGTGAAAACCTGACTTGCTTGAGAAGAGCAGAGGACATCAATAAGGCACACTTCTGGGTTTGTCTGGATGAGTCAGGGAGGCTTGACCTTGGCTACTATACTTGGTCCATCACCTCTTCCCCTCTCGTGCTGGTCCGCCACTCTGATTCCTGGCTGCTATGAACTAAGTACCTTTTCTCTGCTGCTCCCTTTTGCCATGAATTTCTGTCCTGAAGCCAGCCAACCATAGGCTAAACTTCCTCTAATTATGAGCCAAATTAAGCCTCTCCTTTAAGTTGTGGGTATCAGGTATTTCATCCCAGTGATTGGGAAGCTGAGTAACACAGAGACCACGGATTTGCAACAGTCAGTGTACTTAGATATTCACCCACACACCAAAATGACAGACAGGCTCTGAATGGGGATGCTATGAACTCTTGTGCTTACCTACAAGTGTACAAATACATGCCTTTCTGTTGCCATATACCATGACCCTCCCTATTAGTGAGTTCCATATGTATGGATTCAACCAACTGTAGTTTGAAAATATTTCAAAAAAAATTTAATTTATATGAACACATACATCATTGTCATTATTTTCTAAACAATACAATGTACCAGTATTTACACAGTAGTTACTTAGGACTATGTATTTTAAGTAATCTAGAGATGATTTAATGCATATAATGCATTATTTAATGCTTATATTATATACAAATACTGTCATTTTTATAAGGGACTTGAACTTGGACAGATTTTGGTATCCTCAGAGGTTAATGAAACCAAGAATACTAAACAATATGGAGGAGACACAACCATCTTTGAGAGTACATTATGACCAAAGGGTCTTACGTGTGGTTAGGTTCATTTTAGTAGATAAAGTGATTCTGTTAATGTTTCTCAAAGTGATTATGTTAATGCATATCCAAACCAGCACTACAAGAATTCTACACTTCCATTTTTTTTTTTTTTTCTTTTTGGTACCGGGGATTGAATTCGGGTCCTTGTGCTTGCAAGGCAGGCCAATGAACTGCTGAGCTAAATCCCCAGCCCAATTCTTCCATTTTTAAATATATGTAAATATATTTTTCTATCCATCTCAAGAATTATTCATTGTTCAATAGCTTATTCCTCCTGAAAAAGATAAACCTAATCCATAGCAATATACAAATGCCTCATGACTACCTCTCACTTTCCACTGATTAACTGGATATTTAACAGTTTTTTTTTTAATGAAATATTCTTTATCTTTTGTAGTAAACGTTACAGTATTTCTGCCAATATTTAAAGCATACCTTTATGTATTTTTGAATTTTTATGAATTTGAAAAGTCAAGCATCTACTTAAAAATACTCTACTTTAGAGCTTAAAGGATCCTCAGAGATCCCAGAATTAAACATTTGTAAAAACTAACCCCCAGAAAGGCTTAAAACCTCAGTAGTAGGGCGAAGCCTAAACAACTCTGATTTTTATGTTTATAATTAGGAGGAAAGATTATGTACATGTACCAACTCCCCACAAGGAATGTAATCATTACATAGTACAAATACCTACTAATAAAGATGCTTATAAAATGAATCTGATTGTTATAATCTGTTAATTTTGCTATTAATATTTTTGGTGGGCATACCAAATAAAATCATAATTGCTAAACATATAGCCATGTTCTTGTATTTTAAAACGACTTCTGAACTTTCCTAGTACATAATAGGAGAATCTGTATTTCTGCTCTCACCTGATGTTGTTCTGGTTTTCGTATCTGAGTTAGAACATGCTGAATAGCCCCCTAAGTCTCCACGAGGTGGTGAGTAAGCACGACTATTCCATGTGCTAGTGTGCGGAGGAGGATAGGAAGGGTGGTACCACGAGTCCGAAAACGGTGTTGTTGTCCTTTAAAGACAAAGAAGTGGGTTAGGCATCTTTATTGGGAATGTGATTTTTAATTACGTTTCTGCTCCTAAAGCCTAAGGAGAAAACATCATCATCAAGTATTTTTCCCAGAATATTCACTAAATCAGAGTTAACATGAAATAAATTCTGTAATTTTTTACTAATGTTATAGTCACTGCATGGGGGCAAGACAGTAACATAAAATAAATGTTCTTTTTTTTTTAAAGACAGGGTCTCCCTATATAGTTCAAGCTGGCCTTGATGTTGCTATGTAGCCAAGTCTCACCTCAAACTTGCAGCAACCTTCCTGCTTCAGCCTTCAGAGTGCTAGGTGTGTGCCACCATGCCCAGCTTGTTCTTTCTTTTTTAATTCATACTCAAGAAAAATCTAAACTTAAACTACCATTACTCAAGACATTCTAAAATCTGGCCTCAAGCTCTTTCCAAGCTTACCTCTATCATTCTCCTCCTAAATCAGACTAATAGTTGCCCCCAAATGTCTCCTATGACACATCTCATTTTCTAAGATGTCAAGTAAATAGTCTTTTCCTATTTCACAGTCTTTACATGGATGACACAGAATAGAACACAATGAAGGAAAATAATACACACAATATTGATTAAAGTTCATATAGTGTATCTTTCCCCAGGGAAGTGTCATCATATTTCCCTTAACAATACCAAACACCATCAACCAACAAAGAAGTCTTGATGGGAAAGCTAAAATAAAGAGCAAATGGGGGCCGGGAATTTAGCTCAGTGGTTCCACTGCCTGCCTTGTAAACACAAGGACCCGAGTTCAATCCCCGGTACCAAAAAAAAAGAGCAAATGGGCTGGGAATTTAGCTCAGGGGTCCCAGGCATGCCTCACAAAACACAAGGTCCTGAGTTCAATCCCCAGTGCCAAAAAAAGAATTAAAAATAAAATAAAAAAAATAAAATGAAGAGCTCAGTAGTTCTACCACTTGCCTCGCAAACACAAGGCCCCAAATTCAATCCCTGGTACCAAAAAAAAGGAAAAGGAGAGCAAATGAGGTCAATGTAAAACCTACCTACTGCTGCCAAAGAGATATCCTAATATCCCTCCAGTTCCCAGGCCAGTCCAGAACCCTGGTCCTGCATTTTCATGTCCTTGTCCTGCAAAAGCACTGCCAAAACCAGAAGCTGCACCACGGCCAGTATTATGTGGTCCTTAAAATAAAAATGATTTATTAAATTAAGTATTTTCACTGAAATACAACCTTCAAAATTTGATGTTTCAATTATTTCACCTTCATTGTAATAGTTTAATAAAGGGTATTTGTAAAATATTGGCTTAAAACTCATCACCATATTTCCTACGAAGGGGAAAGAGGGACATATTTTGGGAAGTAGAGGGAGAGACTCCCTATAGTTTGGTTTTTTTGGGGGGTGGGGTACAGGGGATCAAACTCAGGTCCTTGCACTTGCGAGGCAGGTGGCAGAACCACTGAGCTAAATCCCCAGCCCTCCCTATAAAATATGATCTCCCCTGCTCAAGATGAAGTTACCAGAAGATGATTGCACTTTGCAATTCTATCCCTTCTGCATTTTGACTGTCTTTAAGGGCCCCAGGTGAGAGCTTTAAGTGATTTTTCTGATGGAGGAAGGCAGTGAGGTATTTCTATCAGCTGGGAAGTACACTCTTAAAAAGACTCCTGCTTGGGCCGGGATTTGGCTCAGTGGTTCCACCACCTGCTTCACACATGCAAGGTCGAGTTCGATCCCCAGTACCAAATAAAAGGACTCTTGCTCAGAGAAAGTTTTTGTAAACTGACTAGTATATACAGGAAAGAATGCTAATCTTACATGGACGGCCCAATAAATTTGTACGTATGTACCTATCAATGTAACCACTACCCATGTTAATAAAATGTTTCTGGCATTCTACAAGGCTCATTACAACGTCCCAGGAGATACATACCTGTATCTAACTTCTCTCACCACACTTTAGGTCTGACCATTCCTGATCTCTTCATAAACAGGATCCCAGATTATGTATTGTTTTGTGTCTGCTATATTTTGTCTATGAAGATCAATCCTACTGCTGCACCTATCAATTGATTTTTATATCATGCATGTATAGCAGTACATGTGAAAAACTCACAATTTGCCTCATTCTAATAATTAGTCTATTTCCCATTTTTGTACTAAAAAATTACTATGACATTCTTGTGTACTTTTTTGTGCACATACGCCTTTATTTTTCTTAGGTAAACACACAGGAATAGAAATGCTGATCATATGATGGGCATGTTTGGTTTTAGTACATCCTGAAGTTTTCCAGTGTTTTGCCACTTTAAATCCTAAAGAAAAAGTATGAAAGCTCCAATCACTCTTTGTGAATTCCTGATACTCATTTTAATGTTAGTCATAACATTGTTTTTTTGGTAGTTAAAAATCTCCTTTTGGCTTTATTCTGTATGTCCTTAGACAATGATGTTAGCACTTTTTCATTTATATTGGCCATCTGGATATCCTTTTATTATAAAATGGCTTTGTGTCCTCTGTCCACTATGTAAATGGGGTCTTTTCTCAAATTTGTGAGGGGTCTATATATATTCTACACACAAGTCTTTTGTTGGAAATGTCTTACAAATACTCTCTCCCCTGTCTGTGGCTTGCCTTTTCACTCTCGTAATAGTCTTGAAAAACAGATGCTCTTAATTTATAATGTATGCCTATCTTTAATTTTTTTTTTTTTTTTTTGTACTGGGGATCGAACTCAGGACCTTGTGCCTGTGAGGCAGGCAGCGGCACCACTGAGCTAAATCCCCAGTTGTCTTATCTTTAATTTTATGATTAGTACTTTTTGTGTTCTTTGCCTATCCTAAAATCATGGCAAATGTTCTCCTATGTTTTATTCTGGTATCTTGCTTTACCCTTTCTGCTGAAATCTACAATACTTAATGAGTTAATTACTATGTATAATGTAAAGTGTGATACAGAGATCAAGGGAAATGATCATTACCAAATCTGATCAAGTGTCACTGATGAAGATAATTTATAATTTAATTAAGCATCCTGAAAATAATCATCACATACTCTTATAAAACAGCAGAACAGAAAAGGTAAAAGAAATTTAAAGTAAAAAAATAAGATGACAAATCTACTTTGATTTTCCAGTGCAATCACTCTCTTTTTCAGAAAGAAGATCAAGATTCACTGGCTCACACCCACCCTATTGTCAGCCATTGAGGAGAGAAACACACCTGTGAACTGAGACTTAAAGCCTGGTGGAGGGGGTCCTGCGGAGCTGGTGAACCTCTGATAATGCTGGGAATATGGTGGACATTCAGAATACGGTGGGGGTGAATACTGGCCATCACTGAGAAACAACTTATAAACTACAAAGGCAATAGTTAGCAGCACTCCAATGGTAACCAATCCACCAGTGGCACAGGAATCTGCCGAGTATAACTTATAATAATAATCAGAGAAAGAGAAGCCCTGTTGTTTTCCAGATTCTTTCAATTTCTTCAGGCCAATCTCTGTGTAATCTAAGTGATACTCCAAGCCACAGGAACCTCTGAGTACATACTGGTCTTCAGAGGAGTCATAGCCTTCACAGCTCACCACAGTTTTTCCAAATCTGTATGCAATATCCAAATCAGTCTTACATTCCCACTGTGAAAAAAGTAGAAATAGATTACAATAACCAAAAGATTTTTTTCACTTTATATTTGGAATATGTTGCATCCATCAAAAAATTGCAAAATGAGGAAAGGAACAATGAACAAAATTCAAGACAATTAAGCAGTTAAGTGCTGAGGGACAGTAAATTAGGGGCTTCAAAGATAAAGGTGATATTGGTGTTGCACTTTTAAAAGAAATGTTATTAGTACAGGTTTGTTTGCAGATAAAGATTACATTCATTGAGAAGTAATATGTACATGAACAAACACACCCTAATTCTTTCTTCATCCCCTTCTCCTCTTTCCCTCCATCTCTTGGTTCTTTAGTGTTTTAAGCAGGGTAGTGGGTACTGAGTGTTCTTTTATTCCTTATACATACATGTCGTATATGTCCTTCTGTATATATTAGGTATCCCATAATTTATGAAATGTGAGCAAATTTTCAAAACATTTTTTGCCACTAGTGTTCAAGGTGCTTTCTTAAAAAAGATATTTTAAAGATCAGTGACATATATGAAGCTCTGGTAGGTATGTTTAGCACCAGAGATACTACTTTCTGAAAAACAAAATTTTTATAAACTATGGATTAACTTTACAGAGTCCAATCCTATATAATCCTCTTTCATTTTTTAAGAGATATTTAGAAAAATGTAAGGACTCCATAGTTACCTTAAAAACTTCTATCTTAAGAAAAATAAGAGCTGGGCCAAGGATTCAGCTCAGTGGTTCCGCTGCCTGCCTCGCAAGCACAAGGACCCGAGATTAATCCCTGGTACCAAAAAAAAGAAAAATAAGAGCTAAGGTATAGCTCAGTGGTAGAGCATGTACTGAGAATGTATAAGGCCCTGGATTCAACCCCCAAAACCACCAAAAACTCAGTGAATAAATAAGCTCAAGTTTAGTTCTGAGCAGATAAAATGTTTTCTTAATATTTATTTACAACAGACAGTTGTTGTTGTTTTTTTTTTTTTAGATAGGGTCTCACTATGTAGCCCCAGGTCTTGAATTCATAATGATTCTCTTGCCTCAGCCTCCCAAATGCTGTGATTACAGGCATGTGCTACCACACCTGGCTCTTGCTTAAGGATAAATAAATACACCCTAAAGTAAATTAAGTGATTTTACTGCCTTTCTGTTAAATTTGTACAAATTATCTTCCTCTCTCAAAATTTAGATAATACTATTTTACTTTTTTATAACAGCTTTATTGAGACATACAATTTATAGTGGTTTTTGGTATATTCACATGGATATACAACCATCATTATAACCAATTTTAAGATATTTTCATCATCCCAAGAGAAATCTTAAACCCACTTCCCTCTCAAACCTCCAACCCTACTAACAATATACTTTCTCTCTAAATGTATTTATACAATCTGGACACTTCTAATAAGTGGAATCACACAATATGGGGGCCTTTGTGACCAGCTTATTTCACTTAGTGTAACAATCAAGGTTTTATCTGGAGAAAGCTTTAGATAAATAAAATTTATCTGATTTAGCAAAATTCTGCTTATCAAAAAGCTAAATTTACATCAATGTTTCATGTTAACTCTCATTTCCCCAATAGTGTATATTAAAATGACTCTAAGTAGTATATTTAAATTTAAATTCCTGCTACTAAACATAAGCTAATGTATGCTAGATATGCTCTACACTTCTTTTCTCATAATGTCTTTGCTCTCTTCACAACACAAAAACACCTCTAAGTCTTTCCTAGTGCCTCCAACCAGACATGATTTTGCAACACTTTCTTAGTATGCACATGTAACTCAAGTATTTATCTACTAGGTAAAATGTTCTTGATTCTATCTTATTCACTTTTATACAAAACACTTAATATATGTTTAAGGAAGACATCACCATTAGTATTTTTTCCCATCAAAACTGAAAATGTGCTTGGGGAGATAACTTAGTGGTAGAACACTGACTAGTATGTGTGAGGCCCTGAATTCAATTGCCAGGATGGGGGGGGGCTATAAAAGTACTTTAAAAGTAAAGCAGAAGTGAAATGTACTTTAATCTGGAGATCCTATAATTCAATTTACTCAATTGTGAAATAAGTATCACCCAGCAAACATAAACTCTCTCTGAACTACATCGTGCATAAAGGTTTTACCTGCAAAGAATGTTATTCTGATGGAAAAGAAAATCATTAATACAAGGTTCTTGCACAGCTGGGAGTGAAGCCCAGTGGCAGGAGCCTTGCCTAGACCGTAGCAGCAGGGTCTACATTTGATCCCCAGCAACACACCAAAAAAAAAAAAAAAAAAAAAAAAA